TATATTGACCGGATGAGATATAAATAGTCAGAACTTTTTGTTATTTGATAGATTATTTCAATATTTGAAGACCTTAGAGATACATAACTATATTTTATGAAAATCTAACAAAATAAAGTTACAATATTTTTAAGCAAAAATAGTTGAAATGAACGACAAAAAGTGTTAATATAGCTATTGTTTTACAATATTTTTTAATGAAACTAAAACTAGAAAAAAAAAATGTTTTGTAACAAAAAAAATTGAGCGGACGGATTTCGCCACAAACAATAATGAGCTGATCGACATAAGTGTAACACATTTCTTATATCTAATAATATTTTGAAATTAATAAATCTTTATGAGGAATAATTGTTAAAATGATATTTTATGAAAATATTAACTGAATTGTTAAAACTGATTATATAAGTCAATTTAATTATTAAATGTATTTGATCTCTTGTGTGAAAACTCAAATGACATGTTATTTGGCTTGATTGGTAATTTCGACAAGTGTCAAAATTAGATTATTTAACTAAATGTTCTTGGCCTAATATGTCAAAATGTTTATCACTTATTCAAACATGTTCAAGCGATGCTTTGCTTTTGGGCCAATTGGCATTTCATTTGCTCCAAAAAGTCTTTCATTTGCGCAAAAAAAACAACATTTCATTAGCGCCAATGATACAGGAAAATACAGGTAAATAGTACAAAAAAATAGTTTAATTCAAAAGAGACTTTTAGTAATAATTCTAAAACATAGTTTTTGATCGCATAAAAAAATATATTCCACCGAAATTAGTCATCGTAACCATAATGAAACTCGCTGTTTTATATTAAACAATAAGTATGAACTTTTTTAAATTAGTTACACAGGGAGGAATACTTAAAGAAACTCATCTTATTCACGATGTAGCAATGGATATTTCAAATTTCTTTGTTATATGTTACCTGTGAAATGGCGCAAATAAAATATAACATTGTGGCGCAAATGAAAGATTGGATTTTGTCAAAATTGGCGCAAATGCAAACTTTGTTATTAAAACTTTGTTGTTTGTTAAATGAAAACTGGAAACCGGTACGTCTAAACACCACCTAGGCCGCCTTGGTGCACTAAGCTCCTGAAACTGCACTAAGCCCATGATGGAACAGTCATATAAGCACCAAGGTCATTCAGTACGATAAAGTTTTGAATAAAGAGCATATATTTAAATTTTGGTGTAAATATATTCAGAAATTAAAGACTTATTACGTGTATTACATTGTACGTGGCACGCGCCAACTTTTGTTTAATGTGTCCAGTTATTATAGTGTTAATTGGATCCACTGAAGCTTGACGAATTCATAAAAACTGCACTAAGGAGATGAATGAAAGGTTAAATATGCACCAAGATCATAAATTAAGATTTCTTATTATGATAAAAAAAATTATGGTCAAAGTTGGTTCGAAGATCTAGATAGATTTAAAAGTTATTAACATTTTTAACATGACACGCGCTCTTCTTGTGTAATGCCCCCTCTGTAATGTATGAATACCTTGATAATTGATCTAATCAATCTTGAAGGATTAACTTTTCACCAGTAAATCATTCTTCTTTGTTTATAATCATTAATGATAAAAGGACTGTTGATCTTTTCTTTGATGTTTTGTTAGAATTTTTTTTTGGGGGAAAAAAGTGTTGGAAATAAAATTTTGAGAAAATAACAGTAAAAACAATGGAGATTGGCTTGTTTACGAAGCCAAGTGTATTGTATTCTGTTTCTTTTTATTCTTCTCAATTTACTGTTTCAAGACTTAAAATTATAGATATAATAGACTAAATTCAATTATAAGAGTGTAAAATGTGGCGTCCTTTGGGTTATCAACAAGTATGACAGATCGCTGGTAATACTACAAGGGATACATGTAATTATAATTAAATCTGTATTTCCTATATACATGATATAATTTGGGAGTTATGATATGATTGCCGTTGAGAAATGTAAATATCCACCAGAGTTGAAATGACGAAGATTTAAGCAATGACAGGTCGCAGTACGACCTTAAACGACGAGAAAATCCATACCGTCTAGTCATCTTTATGTATATTCATTGGTTTATTTTTTGTTCCAAAAGTTTAAAAACTTAAAGGAAATATTGTCATAATGTAAATTTGACTGATAACAGTTTTTAAACGATTATATGTGTTTTAAATGTTGTTAGCTGTTTACAAAGAACCTGCAAAATAACAAATTCCCTGTATTTTACCGAACTAAATATATTTAATCAGAGTCGGCAAAATAGCCACTGCCTTAATCATGATGATATGGAATTAAAAAAATCTCTTATTTTCGGGCCTTTTTATACAAATAAGATGATGTGGTATGAAAACCAATAGGACAAATCTCCATCGAAGTCGCAAGTCACAATTATAAAAGTAAACCATTTAATATTGGTCAAAGTACTGTTTTCAACACGGAGCCTTGCCTCACACCGAACAACCCACTTTAATTAAAGTTTAAAATATTTAACTTAAATGTCTTTAATATTTCGAATTTCTTATGTGTCAGAATAAAAATTTCATTCCAAATTTTTTTTATTAACAGATTTTAAAATGTTTTGATTTTCTTTATCTCTTTAAAATTCATACTAATTTTAACCCCAAAATCTGCCATTATCACTTTTTAAAAAAAATTTAAGGTATAGGTATTATATAAAATGTTGGCATTTGAGGAAGACACCGTTATTATATAATAACCTTTCTTTATTTCTTCATGGATCAGTGGTTTTATTACCTGTTAATTACTGGCATGTGCCGTCGGACAAAACCTTTGATGACAGAAAAAAATCATATTACGACAAAACAACAAAATGTACTGACAAAAAATTTCAGATATGTTATCTTGAGGAAAAACTACATCCGATTGTATGTTTGTTTTATTCATAACACCATCCCATCATGGGCTTAGTGCAGTTTCAGGATCTTAGTGCACCAAGGCGGCATAGGTGGTGTTTAGACGCTCTCCTGGCAACTACGGTCACAATTGATAAAGTAGATTATATGGTACTATTTGTTTAATTTGAGTCTTTTTTTGTTATTATTATGCTTTCTGTTTTCATTTATATTATGTCGCTTACTATATTTTATATGTTGTTGATGCTATAGCATTATTTTATATGCTGATTTGCAATAAACTTATTACAATTACAATTAAATATCTGTACTTCTAAATTGTGCCGGTGAACTCAATCAGGTCAACATTTTGGGATCAAAGATATAAGTTTTAACGGATAGGACTTATTGTTTCAAACAATTTATAAGTTTATTTCAAATGTATCTCAATTTAAAAAAAGATGTTTTGAAATTTTAGAAATTTTGAACACTTTCTGTCGATCATGTCAATATAATTCGTCGCATAATTCGCACAGGTCAACTTTTCTTGTAGAGAAACAATTTTTTACTATAAAGTTAATTTTTTTGTATTATAATTTATTCATATGTCTCCCAGATTTTTGTTTCATGTTGAAATTTTAACTGTTAAACAAACGAGATAGTAACAATTTTTGTCGATCAGTTCAACACATTAAAAGCTTTTTTTCGGCGATTTTGAAAACTGATGCTAGATATGCTATCTTTATGTTCTCCTTCATACATTAATCTTATTGTTTAGTACAAGGATTTGTATAGATTGATTGATTGATTGATTGTTGGTTGCTTAACGTCCAGTGGCAAATATTTCATGCATATTCAGGACGGAGGATTTGTATAGTACTATACAAATCCTTGTTTAGTATATTCATAAAATGTCGTTAAATAATACAAATGACGAACAACATCGAAGTCCTTTTTAAGAAAAGCTCCATAATTATCGATCTTAGCTAACATATAAACACGAATGTGTCAATATTTACATAGTATATTGTATAAGCGTCCCATGGTGCCACGGCAAATCCTTTCCGGTGCTGTATCACTATTCAATACCATATGTTACTATTTTATCTTATCATTTAAGTATTATATTGAAAATATAGTAGTCCATGCACAAGAGCTTGTTGGGAGACCCCCTTTTTTATTTTTTGATATCAATATATAATTCCAAAATAGTCTTTTCACATCAACTTTTTTACCTTGTCTAAAGTGTTCAAACTCTTATCAATGCGATTTAACAATAATAATGTATGTATGTTGCTCTCTATTCTTATGTTTAAGAGTATTCTACACATACGAATATAGGGTAACACATATAAACTAATTTTATAAAGTCAAAATAAAATTGAGATACGGCTGAAATATGAACGAATATTTTCAAATAAGATTAATTACAACAACAAAAAATTATAAAATTAACTAGACAAAGTGATGCCCCGCACTTCACTCTGAAGTAACTGTATCATAACAAAGATAATGTAGAACTTTATCTGAGATTTAATTGTGTCTGGGAGACACAAATGATGCCCCCGCAGATGCATGGTGTTATTTTAAAATAACTTCAACTATCTCCCAAAAGAGCAAATATTAAACCCTGACCACATGCACACCTTCAATATATGTACAAACCACTAAACTTTAAGGAGAAAGTCTGCGGTTTTATTTACTGATATCTATGTCTAATTAAGGGTAGTGAATTATGTAAATTTTATGATCCTAGTGGACAGAAAAATATTACAATTTAATCCACAGGTGTTAATGATTTTACGTGTTACCTAGATCAAATAAAATTCAGCATGGAGTATACATCTGGCTTATACAATGTCAATATCGAATACATGTGACCTATCCATATCAAATAAAATCTAAAATTGACAGTAATGTACATCTTGTCATATTTATGATATTGCCTTTCTGTAGCTTTTATTTATATGTTTTTTGAGATTTCAACCCTCCCTCTATACCTCTAGCCTATGTAGAATAAACAAAACACAGCAATACGCACAGTAAAACTCAGTTTAAAAGAAAGTCCGAGTCCGATGTCAGAATAGATAACAAAAGACACTTCACTAAGCAAAATGACAATGATACATGATAAATAAACTAAAGAACTATTACAAGTTCACCCTTGGGTGCCTCGAATATAAAGATAACGCGGTCATCTTGTGTTCTGGTCAGTTGATTGGAGTTTGCGGTCCTAATCAGACGCAAAATGGATATTGTAAAAGTTTTAAGGAAATTTCGGGAAGAAGAAGATCCTGAAATGGAGGAGTATGAAGGGAAGTGTTTGCCAACATTCAGCAAACTAGAACTGTTCAACATCGCAAATTCAAAAGGTGTCAAACTGGAGGAAATTATGCTGTTGGGTGGAATCCAGGATTCCAGGGAAAACATTTGCAAACTGGTGCATTTTGCACTACAGTGTGGTGACATGATTCAGGAGGGAAAAGATGATGAGGAGGCTGGGCCATCTACACGTCCGGAGCCACCTAAAAAAAAGAAAAAGGCAAATGATACAACTGGGGTAAGAACAGTTTAATCAGTAAAAAAAAAGTTTTCTTGTTAAGCAAGAGGAATTTTGTTATGGTATTAGAAGTTAAATGCTCATATTTCATTTGATCCGGGCATTAAACAGAATCGTGTATTTGGTCAAAGTGTATGCGAAAAGAGTCTCGTGTTATAAATGGTTTTGGTTAACGTAAATTAATTTTGGCGTTATTTACCTTAAGTACACATTCAAAATTGAATGAGGTTATTTAAATGAAATTTTTTAGGTGAATGGAAGAATATATTATTTATAGATTTGTTCAGTGCTGTAAATAATTATTACGTTCAGATCTATGGGATAAATGACAATGCGGTTACATTAGAAAAAATGTATTAATATATTAAAAGGCTTAGATTATTAATGACCAAATTAGCACATCACCGGGAAATGATTTAAAGAATTTCTTACAAAGATTAAAAGTGTATATTACTATTCATAAGGAAAGACATATTATTAATGATTCAAGAGAAAAAGGAAGGAAAAAATGCATGAGATAATTATAAATCGTCTGTGGTTAAAAGAAGAATTACAGGTATAGATGTGGTTATCCAGGGAAAACGGTTTGTTAATAAAGAAGGGAAAATATATATGAAATGAGTAAAATTAGCTATAGTTTTGTTAAAAGGTTGCAATTTAGAAAGAAAGAAAAAAAAAAAAGGAGAGAAAAAAAAAAAAAAAAGTCTTTAAGAATGATGAAAAGAGGATTTTAAGTTTTAGCATATAAAAAAAAAAAAGAAGAAAAGAAATGAACTGTCTAAAAGAGAGAAATGTGAAGAAAAGTTTTCCTCGAAATATTTAAGATTTTTATTGATGATTCAAGAGAGAGAAAAATAATTAAAAAGGAGAAAAAAAAAAGTCTTTAAGAATGATGAAAAGAGGATTTTAAGTTTTAGCACATAAAAAAGAAGAAAAGAAATGAAATGTCTGAAAGAGAGACATGTAAAGAAAAGTTTTCCTCGAAATATTTAAGATTTTTATTGATGATGCAAGAGAGAAAAAAAAATAATTAAAAAGGAGAGAAAAAATAAAATGTCTTTAAGAATGATGAAAAGAGGATTTTAAGTTTTAGCATACAAAAAAAAAAGAAGAAAGAAACGAACTGCCTAAAAGAGAGAAATGTGTATTAGAAATTTTTATTGATGATTCAAGAGAGAGAAAAATAAAATAAATATAAAATACATGAGATAATTATGAAATGTCTGAGGTTAAACAAGATGTGGATGTAGTTATCTAGAGAAAACAGATATGTTATTAAAGAAGGAAAATTATATAGGAAACGAGAAAATTTAGTCATAATTATGTTAAAATGAAGTAAATTAGGAAAAGTCAAAATGAGGCAATAGATAAGAAAAACAAATGGAAAAAATTGGGATGCAAGATTGGTAACTAAAATACTGTGAAAAGAGGATTTTACGTTTAAGTGAAAAAATATGTGGTTAATTTGAAAATGATTAATGAAGGGTCGTCCATGCATGATCAATAGTTTTGAGAGAGAAAAATATATATATTAATGTTAAAGAAAAGAGATGTGAAGAAAAGTATTTGGAATATTTAAGATTAGTTTTGATGCTTCAAGAGAGAATTTACATGAAATAAACGAGATAATTATAAATTGTCTGCGGTTAAAGGATGAATTAAAGGTACAGACAAGGTTAGCAAGAGAAAACAGTTATGTTAATAGAGACGGAAAATATATATCATGTATATAGGAAATGAGAAAAAAAAAAAAAAAAAAAAAAAAAAATGGTTAACTGTCAGCAATTTAGAAAGAAAGAAAAAAAATGGTTTAGAAAAGTATGGTAAATAGAAGGGTGTGAAAAGAAATTTTAACGTTTATCGAAAGAAATATGAAGATAGACAAAGTTGGTTAATGTTTAAAATTTAAGTTTGTTTAATTGTTAGTTTTTCATGCAATTTGAAAGAGAGAAGAAAATGAAATGTTTTAATCTTTGTTCATTGTTGAAAACAGTACGGTGGTATATAGATGATAATTTCTTCGTTATTTGTTCTTGTGAAGAGTTGTCTCATTAGCAATTATACCACATATGTATAAACGAGTATGAAATAATCCAATTTGTAAAAAGAAAAGATACGCTAGAGAAAGGTCTGTCGTAATATGTGAGACTTATTTAGGAATGAGATCACAAGACATAAATGTAAAATTTTAATGAATATTATAGTAAGAGGAAGAAGATGTTGTGGAAGAACTATACGGAATAAGTTTTGATAAATTCGTTGAAAAATAAGGCTCACAGGGGAGTATTACTTGCAATTAAAGGGACATTTGTAGGAAAATGGAAATAAAAGAAGATGAAGAGGATATATTAAAAGTTATAATAATTTTGAATGAAAGAAAGAAATAAAGAAAAAAGAATAAGAGGTACGAAATGGGTCGTTAGTAAATAGAAATCAGTTAGTAGGTTTTTATAAAAAAAAAAAAAAAAGAAGAAAAAAAGAAAATAAAAGTTTCTTAAATTAGTCTTGTAGTATGCATACCTCCATTTGAGATACAGTAACCAGCGTAAGATTTAATTGTGGTCACATAAGTTTTACTCCCAGATAAAATTATCTCATATTAACTAGGAAAAAAAAAAAAAAAGTTATAATCACGCATTACATAATTATGCTAATTTTATTAAATAAATGAAGATGACAGGCTGCCTTTGTTACTAAGAAGGCATTGTATGTGCATTGTCGTCTTCATTATCTAACTGAATTTAAATATTTTTATCTAAAATTGTGGTTGGAGGAGCATAACATAGAAAGGATTTGTGCAAGTTAATATGAAAAGTATAAAAATGCTTATATTTCATTCCAACCCTGGAAAATTATGGTAATATTTTGACATAAGGGATTATAATTTGAGAGGCGGTTATGCAACCGGTAATAAGTTATTTCCTTGAGATCTTCTCTTATCAAATTTATTTGTGTATGATAAAAGTTCAGATAAAGTCACAGTTGGCAGCTGTAAGAAAAGCTGGACAGGATTAATTATCCACACTACAGTGATTAACAACATGTGTATTATTTAATAGTAGAGAGTATCTTAAGAAGTTATATTAACCGTAACAATCAGTGTCAACAAACACTGCAGGTATGCATGCATTTTAATTGGTATAGAACTGTGGTTGTACAAAGATAAACAATGGGTGTTATTATATGTGATATTTTCCCAAACAGATGAAAGCCCTGGAGGACAAAATAGATAAGCTGGAGAAGAAGTTGGAAGAAAAGAAAACAGCCGATGACGAATCGGATTTAGCAAGAGCCAAGCGAGACGTGAAAGAAGAGGCATCCAAGGGACCAAAGGTTGATATTGACGTTTTGCACGAGAGACTTGTAATTCTTGAAAGTTTAGCTAGAAAGCAAAACAGTGATATTAAAGACAAGATAAACCTAATTTTAAACCGATTTAATTCTCATAAGTCAAACCCATCTTTTGCTGCAGCACTTGTGTTGAAATTAGTCTGCAACAGAGAAGAAGAAAGCATTTTAGACAAGGAACAAAAGTTAATGAAAAATTTCGGAATGACAAAAAACAATGAGGATGTAAATACACAAGGGTATGGCATGTTTCAGCCCATGCCTTATAATTATGGGTACAATCGTTTTAGTTATCCACAAGGACCTTCACCTCCACGTTTTTCTCAACAACCACGAAGGTCAAGACCCCGCACCCCATTGATATGCTATCGATGTAATAAACCTGGTCATATGGCTAGGGATTGCCTTATCCCTCCACCCCAGAACTAGTTATTGAACTCTTATCGTTAAGTTTTTCGTTGATGTTGCTCATTAGATGTTGGCATGCATTGTACATAAAAAATATATTACCTCATATAACTAAATTCTGATGCAAGTTATATATATAATTTCAGGAAAACTTTCGAATGAAACCATGGGAAAAAAGTGTGATTTTTGATAGCGACCCGACCAATGAATTTGTTAGATTAGCATCATATGTCAATTTAGAGGGGAAACTTTTAAGTGAAAAGGAGTTACAAATTAAGCCCGATTCGGCGGAAAAATCATTTAGTGCATCATTGATACAAGGTCAGGTTCCGTCGACTGATAACTTAGTCTTTTTAAATCCAAATTCTTTTAAGGCAGGACAAATTCATACGCGTGTAGACCAATGGAAGCATATTATATGTAATTCGTCGCAACCTAAGGAAGTCTTAGATTGGATAGAAAACGGGGTAAACATACATAAATACATTACGTCTTTCAAAGGGAAATTTTGGGGAGAAAAGTATGACCACGAATTTCCTCCACCGAGAATGTTTAACAATTCGAACAGTTGTGTTCCTTTTATTGATTTTATAACTAAGACGATCACAGAGAGATTACGAAATGGATCACTTGAATGCCTAGGGAAAGTGGGTCTAGTACAACCACCGCATATAGTAGCCCCTTTAACAGTAGAACCTACAAAACCTCGACTTTGTGTGAACCTTATGTATCTCAATAATTGGATCAAAAGTGTACCATTCAACTTAGATACTTTAAAAGATATTCCCAGGATAGTTAAAACAGGTGCTTATTTCACATCAATAGACGATAAATCTGGTTTTGATAATGTTCGGTTATCAGAAGAGTCTTTCAATCTTGTCGGTTTTCAGTGGGGAGGATATTATTATCGGTGTAAGACCCTACCTTTTGGATTTAAATTGTCAAGTTACATATACCATACTTTGAATATGCAACCTACCTCTTATATAAGGAAACATTTTTCTATACCGATATTTCTGTACATTGACGACAGACTGGTAGAGGAAGTTCGAAGTGAAGGGATAGAACCCGGTATACCAAGCGCTTTGTTAGCAAATTACATTGTGTGTGAAATATTAAACAGGCTCGGATACTGTTTAAATCTAACAAAGACTATATTTGTACCAACACAATCACCAGTTTTTTTAGGGTTTAATGTAGACTCTGTAGAGCGTTGCTTCAGGTTAACTGAAAGTAAAAAGAAAAAGTTTGTAGGTTTCAGAGAGGCTTGTCTCGCGAAGTCCGAGCTATCCGTTTTAGATTTACAAAAACTATCAGGCAGGTGTATTTCTTTCATGCTAGCAGTCCCTGCCGCAAAGCTGTATACCCGCGAAATGAATAGCGCGATTTCTTTTGGTATAAAGTCGAAATCAGGCATAACATTGAATGGAGATCTCAAGGATGAAATTACGTCATGGCGTTTTCTTGATGAATGGGAAGGTAAATTAGAGTGGAAAAGGGAGAGACATTTATCAGTGACTATTTTTACAGATGCATCCACCTTCAAATGGGGTGGTGTCTTCGAAATTAATGACATCAAACATACTGTAGGTGATTCGTGGGTGGCAGAAATGCTTTCTCTGCCAATTATGATTCTAGAAGCATATGCGTTATTAAATGTTTTGAAGTCATTCAGAGACAAAATTAAGGGGTTTCGAATAGATGCAAATGTCGACAACAAAGCTTTGATATATGCGTGGGACAACGAGGGGTCAAGGTCATCTCAATTGAATTCTGTAATAAAAGATATTTTCAAATTTACTATTGATTCTGACATTATTTTGAACCTGTACTATATACCGTCAAAACAAAATCTCGCTGACGCACCTTCACGTTCTTTAACAAAGTGTGACGCAACAATTACGAAAGCAATATGGCAGACTATTCAAGAGCATTTCGGAGGAAATTCTGGACATACTTTAGATCTCATGGCTCTGGACTCAAATAGCATGAAAGACAAAAAAGGAAATATTTTAAAACATTTTACACCTTTTCAATCTCCTTTGTCCTCGGGTATAAATGTTTTCACACAAGAGATTAACAAACAGGAAAACTGTTACGTGTTTCCACCTTTCAATCTCGTTCTACCAGTTATGACTTTCTTGAAAGAAAGCAGTTGTAGTTATACGATTGTGATAAGAGCGGAGAATACTACTCCTTTATGGCTGCCTAATTTTGTCAATTTTATTAGTGACGCGTTTGTTCTAGGCCTCAAAGGTCAAAAAGATGTTTTAAAGTACCCAACGAAAAAGGGCTATGTGTCTGATAGATATGGTTTACCATGGAATTTATGGGCGGTTAGGGTGCAGAACTTTATTTCCGGTTCATCTTATGGGAAAATGCTTTTTCTAAATAACCCTACGATTACATCAAATTTTCATTTTCTCTGTGTCGGTGATTCAATGATCAGATTTCTTTTATCAGATAAGAAATTTAGGAACCCTATGGTACATGTTTATTCAGAAGGTGGAGGCCTTATTCGCAATGTACAATACAATATTCAAAAGATGGTCGATAGGTATCCACCACAAACTATTTTTGTGCATGCCGGTGTGAATAATTTGAGTAAATGTTATTTGTATTTGAATGAATTTCACCAATTATCTGTAGCACATCATGAGCTTGAATCTTTAACATTGTTGTTAGAAAACATTTGTAAGCAATTTACGCATGTAAAAGTAATTTTGTCATCAATAATTATCACTAAGGACGATTATATAAATATAAGATCGGAGAGATTTAATGCAAAAATGAAACAAGCATGCAGAGAACATAAGTGGTTATTCATGGACAATGTAAATATTAACAGTTCACATTTAAGGGATAATGTGCATTTGAATGAGGATGGCCAACGTATATTGACAAACAATTTATATAGTATGTTAAAATGTGTATCCCAAGTAGGAATGTAGGGACAGTGACATGACTAGCGTTTGTTTGTTTTTCTCTACCAAAGTGTAAATATGTATGTTTAGTTAACATTTTTGTAAATTTATATAGTTGTCATTTTTTTTCTTTATTTTGTTGTAGGGTTTTAATATTGCAAATATTTTACGTCCATACATGTTATGCAAAGGATGTGCAACAGCAAACGATGTAGACTATATTTTTTGTAAAATATGTGGTTCTCCGAGAAATAAGTCATTAGAATGTTTAGACGAATGTTCGAAAGAAAGGGATCAACTGTTGCATAAAATTGAAAAACGAATTGACAAACTTGACAATTTATTAAAATCGGGGAGTTATTCAAAACAGAAATGCAGTTTAAAAACCGAATTAGAGAAATTTTTCGTTACTTTGGAACCTCTGAAAAATCTTTCCAACGCCGTTCCTGAAGATATCAGGAAATTCTTAGTGTTCAAAGAAAAAAATGGCAGAACACAACTGCACGAGGATAATTGCGTATATCGTACAGAACATGGTCTTAAAAACTGCAGTTGTCCCAAAACTCTCACGGTAAAGTCGGTAGACAGTTTGTTAGGGAAAATAAGAGCAATTTTTCGAGATATTGGAAGAGCTGGAGAATGGAACCCAATGCTTTACAGTGGCAACCCGGCTTCATCTCATATCTTGAAGCAACATATTCAAGCAGTGTCTTTGGAGCAATCTAATTCTAATATTACAAGAAAACAAGCGACTCCTTTAATGTTCGACAAGTTAGGAAAACTATGTAGATATTTATCCTACAAAGTGTCCGTGGAAAAAGACCCTATATCACAGTTCTTATTTGCGCGTGACTTGTCTTATTTTTCTCTGTTATGTCATTCAGGCAACAGGGGTGGGGATCTTGGTTTACTTAAGGCCGAAAATTTGTTTGAAATACCTGATTCAACAGGCATTTATGTATCACAACAGGCAGGGAAAACGGCCTCAATCGACAATCCAAAAAATTATATCATCTTGCCGTCGCTAGATGAAGATATTTGTCCAATTAAACTTGTAAAGGATTACAAACGTATGGCAAGTAAATTAGATGTAGATTTAAACAAGGGTTTCATTTATCGTGTTAGAGACAATAAATCAAAACAAATTAATAATCGAGCAGTATCATCATCATGTATGACAGACCGGTTAAAGACGCACTTAATGAATATTAATCTGTATCAAGGAGAAACGTCCCACAGCAGCAGACGCGGTTGCGCAATTACCTTAAGAATGTTAGGAGTCGATGATCAAGCGATCAATCAACATGTGGGTTGGAGTTCCAAGGGAATGATTGACCATTATGCACATGTTGGAAAATTAATGAGCCCCGAGGGTCCAGCTAGAACATTGTCCTCCGCTGCTAAACATTTAGGACAGGGGTCGTCTTTGTTCGATAAAGTTTCACAAAACTATGTCAGTATAAGTAATTTGAAACAGTTTAAGTTTTGAATTTGTTTTATGAAATTTTTGAAATGAAAACGTAATTATTTAAAAGCACTTTTTTCAGACGTTTTGATTAATTGTATATCAAGAAAGGGGAAAACTTAAACAATTAATTAAGGTACATTTGATTTTTTCATTACTGTTTTATGTATTTTTTATATTATAAGTATTGGATAATAAATACTGTATTAAATGAGTATAGTTTGTTTCAGTATGTTTACACAAAGCTGCACGGTTTTTGGTTTGTTGTTCTCCATATCTAACATATGAGAGGTACCGGGGTGAACTTGTAATATTCCACTATTACAAGTTCACCCTTGGGTGCCTCGAATATAAAGATAACGCGGTCATCTTGTGTTCTGGTCAGTTGATTGGAGTTTGCGGTGAAGGTCATAAGCAATATGGAATATGACAAAGACATGCTCTGTGTGTTAATTGTCATCAAGTGTGGTGAAGGTTGTTAGTAATACGACAAATTCAGGTTATGCTTGTTGATTGCCATTGTATTAGCAGCTATAGCAGAGTGTTAGAAATGAAAGACAGATTAAAAAAAAAAAGGAAATAATAAAAAGAAAAACAACAACATTTAGATCCACCACCATAAAAAACATAACAAGCAAGCAAAACAAACAAACAAAAAAAACAGAAAAAACACACCTCAAACAAACAAACAAACACACGCAAAGTTACATGATGCACAAACATATACATATATCTGAGGCATCATTACGATACGTCATATGAAGGAATATCCAAGGGAGAAGTGACCAGTTATTTTGGCCGGTTGTTACACAATTGTCAATAAAATCAAAATGTATGTTGGGTTAAGCTGGAGAACTGTGTTGTCCGTGAAGGGTTTATCAAACAGGTCGATTTTGTGTTTTTTAGAATCATCAAGTGTTGGGATCCATATGCACTAATTCTAGGATAGGTGGAATAGTCAGGAGCAGTATTGCTCCAAGTACTGATTTAACCTTATGCTAAATGTTAATGTCTTATATTATGTATTCATGGCGATTTAGAGCTTATTCATCTTCATAGCTAATAGCTTGCGTGTATTAATGGCAGATTTGGATAAAAAATACATGTCGTGTTGTCGTTATTATACAACATAACAAGTACAAGAAATACTATAGTGACTTATCCGACCAAAAAAAAAAAAAAACACTACAAATTCTGCTTTTCATTGATTAAAATGTCATGGACATATATTCATTCATCCACAAAACAAAAAAAAAAGGGAAAAAAGGAAAATCCAACAAATCGCACAGATAATTTGATTGAACACCGATGTGGGGGAGTTCAAATTATATCTCTGTCGGAAGGCCGCATACCCAGCCTCTTGTACCTCTCATCTTACCGTTTTTACGGTTTGTTGTTCTCCATATCTAACATATGAGAGGTACCGGGGTGAACTTGTAATATTCCACTATTAGCAATAACTGACATGCCAGCTCCACACTTCAATTAAACTGATTGAAAGATTATGTCTTCGTCATATTCATAAATTGTCTATCCTTTTCCAGAATCACGTTGAAGAGTTAAATGCTTTTTTTTTTTTATATAAATCCATGGAAGTAATAATAATCTAGAAAATACTCAAGCCTGCTTGATGTTGAAAGGATTTGTATATTGGATTTTCATCTAACTCAATTAAAAAGAAATATACAAGGATAGATCAGTTTGCCTGCGGCTTTAAAATGTTTCTTTTATTGAACTTGTTAAAATCAGAAACACCGATGATAAATTATTTGGACTATCTTAAAGCTTCCGAAAAGGTCGTATGTAGTATAAACAGGGTTACAAATTTCATACAATAAGAAAATTTACTAGATTAAGAAATTTTTTTTTTTTAAAGTATTGATCAAGAGATATACATATATTATAAATATAGGAAATATAATAACATGTAAACAAACGTATCTCTTTTGAACCATCGTTAACAGAAAATATTCTTTCTACATCATAGATCATCATAGGGCATGCAAAACTTTTGTTTTTTTAATTATTTCTTTTCTATCGGCAATTTCTTCATCATTCATCTGTGTATAGTGTACGCGGGGTTTCTTTCTTAAATCCAACTGCGTTCGGAATTATCGTATAACTGCTAATATCATAAATTACCCTATAGGCATAACGTCAAAGTGACATCTATTGGCGGGGCGTTCGTTTAGGGGAGTTATCTATTCTTATCTACTGGTCACCAGACGATGAGAACAAGATGGGAACCAGAATAGAAAAGTAACACGAGTTATCTCGCCTTGAAATGTCCGTAATTCTTGTACATGAGAAAACAACTTTCGTATAATAGAAAACCACCATCGTATAATAGAAAACCACCATCGTATAATAGAAAACCACCTTCGTATAATAGAAAACCACCTTCGTATAATAGAAAACCACCATCGTATAATAGAAAACCACCTTCGTATAATAAAAAACCACCTTCGTATAATAGAAAAGCACCTTCGTATAATAGAAAAGCACCTTCGTATAATAAAAAACCACCTTATTATAATAAAAAAGACACATAAGACAGCTATGGCGTTCCATAATAATGGGTTCTGGAGTGTATGCTGACGCGGGTATTTACATAGACCACAATGTAGACTGTACAGCGTTGGATTAGTTTCTGTCATCGAAAGTAGTAATTAAGTCGTTGAGCCATCTATCAGTAAACCGACATCGCAGATATATATAGTGGGTAAAGAGGAGCTGTCCGAGCACGTCCGTTCAGTTGTAATGACTGAGACGTGCCTGGAATGAGATCCAATTATTGAATCAAATGGTATATGGATACCAAGGAATTGTTTATAAAATATACAATTCCTTGATGGATACATACTCATCCTTTTATAAAGCTTCAATTAGAGGAGATAAAAACAATAAAATAGTTGACGCTTTTAATTTCATTGACAAAAGTCTCCTGATGAATTATTAGCCATTAAAGTTTAATAAGCTAACTTTAGGAGATAAAAATGCTCTTGTAATATAGCTGTTTCATCAGAACTGGGCAGCTATATATCCTCATGATTTATTGCTTTATAAAAAGACAAAGGCTCTTCTTTTTCATGGTCGACTTTTAAGGGAAGAAAATAGCCCCTACTAAAAGAAACACTTGATTTATCCAAAACTTTACATTTTATTCATGGTAATCTTATGTTAATCATGTATTAAGAAATCAAAATGATTTAGTAATTGATAATCAACATACGGATAATAATAATAAAAAGAAAAGTAATACACTAATATACAAACAAAATTAGGAAAACTCTGATGAAAATGTATATAAAATAAAATGTCAAATTTACAAGAAAAATAGTAAACTCCAACTTTAAAAAAATTAATAGCTTTGAATATAAAAATAACTTGAGATGGGGAATGACCTACTTTACCAAAACTTTGAACATAGACAACAAATTTGTAAATTTAGAACAAGTGACATGCACAGTCTATTAATAGAAACTCATGTTAAAACTTGCTATATTTTCCATGATTGCATTAGAATATATGTAAACCTCAGATCTGTGTACGGCCTCAAATCTGTGTCCGTTTCTAAAATCTGTGCCCTATCGTGACGTCAATCGCTAATCTATGTCCGTTAAAAAAAAGATACGGCCTCAAATCTGTGTCCTATTTTCAAATTTGTTTTCAATCGTGACGTCATTCACAAATCTATGTCCGTTAAAAAAGATACGGCCTCAAATCTGTGTCCTTTTCTAAAATCTTTTTCCAGTTTGTTTCGCCATGCTCAAATTTGTTCAATGTTTCAATGTATAGGTACCACGTGCACATAAAAATGTTTAGGGTATAATTTATTTTATTATACTTCATGTTAAAATGCCAGATTTTGATTGGTTAATACGAGGGAGACAATTTACTCTATCCCATGGCAAATACTCTATTACCCTTCACGGAGAAGCTTGCTCAACTGTGCGCTTTAATAAATACGGATGGTTGTTATGTACAAGACGACATAGTTTACTATTTTGAATTTGAAATTTAATAGACAGTAATAACAGAACATTCAGTATAATAAATTAAATAACACATATCTGAGAGGGTGATAGAGCAGATTGTTACCCCTCGAAAAGACATTGTTAACCTTGGCTTCGCCTCAGTTGACAATGTTTTCTCGGGGTAACAATCTGCTCTATCACCTCTCAGCTATGTGTTATTTATATAGTGTTTAACAACGACATTTTGTGCCACTATCTTATTAAAAAAGTTTTTTTTTCTGGTGAAACTAGTCCAGTTTCGAATCCATGTATTTTTTAAAATCCATTGTGTACGTACCATGATATAAACATTCAACAACCACAACATAATTCAGTGTACAAATTATTGGCATAACGAGCATACGTGTTACTTTATTAATATGCCTTCAAGAATGAAACTACACAATTTTTTTTCACTAAAAAAACAGTAAAGACTGAATATTTTTTTGCAACATCAACATACCTCATTTTGTATCTCGTCCATATAGCTGAGACAAAAATGGCCATAGATTTGAGTTAATGAAGGACATAGATTTGACAATACAGGACATAGATTTGATACAATAAAAGACATAGATTTGAGACAATAAATGACATAAATTTGGAACGTCTATGACGCAATATAAAAAAGGACATAGATTTGCGGAAAGGACATAGATTTGAGGCTGGACATAGATTTGAGGCTTACATATATTTGAAATTAAAACATGACCAAATCGATCTTTTACAATATTTAAAATTGCCAAAAGGAAGCTGATTTCGAACCACGTGACCTGAAAAGTTTTTGCACACGGCACCTGGGCTGTCGTTCCTCCTCTAAGAGAAACTGGTAATTACAGGAAAATTGCTAGAGATTTAAGACTCATTTAAGATTAGGTACACATTGTGATATATTAGATGACGAATTCCAACATAAATAAAATAAATTCAACATAGACTTTTTTACTTTAAGTAAGTTATATAATAAATCAAGGATTTGTATAGATCTAGTAAGATTATACAAATTCTTGAATAAATTGATAAAGCCATGATAAGTAGAAATTTGAATTCACATTTATAAGTCATTAAACAAATTAATTTGATTACAGTATGTTTTTCAAAATTTTTAAATGATACTGTCATATAAAACATAACATTTAATAATTTTAAATCATTTAACTTTTGACTTTATAAACGGTCCGACTTGATTTTATAGGCCGTCCGAGTTG